ACTCTCACTTCCACACAAGCTATGAAAAGGCCATGTGTCTTCAGCGACAATGACACAAATACAGTTGTTTTCGTTTTGTTTGCCTCCTCCTCATCCCCTTCCCACTAACATTTCAAGTAATAGGGGAAGGGAAGGGAGAAAAGACCCCTTTGAAGAGCCTGCAAAAGATTTGGGATGGGCCTTCTGTTTTTCTTTTTTGTTCATGGCTGGGGATTAGAATGAGGGCGTTAGGCAAGGGTTCCACCCACTGAGCTATCCCCTAGTTCATGTCTAAAGAGAGAAGGCGGGCTGGGGAGAGGGAAAGAACAAGCTCTAAAAACAGCTCACCTTAATGGATGGTTTGAATTTATAGTTGTTCCCTCAAACTGTATTTGAACATCTTAACAGTTTGTTACTTGAAGCCCCATGTGAACAAAATGCCATAGCCAGAGCCATCTCCAAATTTGGAAGATAGAGCTAGGCTCTTACAGGTCACTGTGACTAAGGGCCCCTCATTCTCTCCCTGTCCGGTGATCATCAGCAGATTTCCTGAACCCCTACACATGTAGAGTTTGTACAACACAGACCTGTAGCTCTGACCTGGATGGGGGACACCCCCTTGTGGGTCTCCACCAGGATATAAGCCTACGGTTTCCTCATGGCAGCTCCTATGTAAAATGTCTTGACCCCAAACTTAATCACTCACAGAACCACGTGTCCTCTTCATTTGGAAATGCCAGTCACCACCCCTCCTGCCCCACTCACGCTAATGACTCAGGGCACTGGTGGGCATGAATTTCTGACTTTTGTAATGGTTAACAATGGCATTCCTTTATTTATTTAGCATTAGAGGCCTCAGATACCAAGAGCTGGACTTCGCAGCAATTTCAAAAGCAGTTGCACATCCGTACGTAGGAAAACGGCCTTTAAGGTTACTAAGAATTGGAACTATTTTATTTTGTATCCACAGACAATACTCAGAGATGCCCATGTGTCTTTAAATGCTGTGTATTTTACCTCCTTTCCTAGTTATGACTCAGGCCAGCCCCGCACAATTGAGTTCAGAAACATCCATTCAGCAGAAAGCGGTCCTTGAAGCACTCAAGGTTCTACAGTCCAGTATAAACAAACCCTGGCAGCACCGAGCGACTCCTTTGGCAATGCCTGAGGTTTGGGGGAGGGCTGTGTCCAACAGCAGACCCAAAGCTATGATCAAAATCAAAACATGACCTAGCATCTCTTAGGAGTTAAGATGAATGTTTCTACCAGGGAAATGTGGCAGCATTGTTACACGGTTCGCTTATGCATGATGTTGCAGTACGGGGAGAAGGAAATGGATGGAAACAACAAGCGTTGGCCACCATTGCCCCAGGGACAGTATAGGAAAGGGCTGAGGGACCCATACAGGTGACCTCAAAGGTCTAACACCAGTATGACAAAGAATGTCAACCTGACAGCAGGATAGAGAAGTTCTGTCTGGTTTGAAAGATACTTGGAGGGGCTGGAGAGATGGCTCAGAGGTTAAGACCATTGCCTGCTCTTCCGAAGGTCCTGAGTTCAATTCCCAGCAACCACGTGGTGGCTCACAACCGTCTGTAATGGGGTCTGTGTGGCCTGCAGGCATACACACAGACAGAATATTGTATACATAACAAATAATAAATAAAAAAGAAATCTTTAAAAAAAAAAAAAAGAAAGATACTTGGATGTCAGTCCTCGTGATCAGTGTGGTATCACTTCTACCTTAGAGGTTTGGGGCTTCTGTGAGGAAGAACATTGGTGGGAATTCCCAGGAGAACTCTGTGTGAGGCCAGAAACACCACACATTCCAGAAACATGGAGGCTCTTAGCATGCACCACAGGTCTCACTGCAATTCTCTAACATTCCTTACCAACAACTTTACTGAGTAGTTACCGGGTGCTGGACAATGGACGTGGGATTTTCTTGTGCTAACGAGGCTTTCTATATGCTTTTAAGAAACATCTATTAGATAGCACATGAAAAAGGGGGAGGGGGAGACAGTCTGTGCAATTGGATGCTGCATTGTCTCATTTGTGAGTGAACATTAGCTGGGAAGGTCTGGCAAGTGTTAACAAAAAGACAGAGCTGTCCTGTAACAGCAAGCGTGCGAGAACATGTTACAACCAAGAGGACAGAAAGCAAAAGGAAGGAGACTAGCTAGATGCCCTAATTTTTAGACTAGAGGCTAAATTTCTTTACAGTGGGATCCTAGCCTGGTCGGTCATAGGTAGGGCTACCAATGGCTTTCCGCAAGTGAGGGCTGCCTCCTCCCACAGCAAGCACTCATGAGGGGCAGTAGGCAGTAGTCTCCGTGGGAGGGAGGACCAGATTCATATATCCTAGAAATTCCCTTTGTGTGCTGATGGCATGCATCCTGTTCTGGTCCCTCCCTCCATTGTCCCAGCTGTTTTTCTTAGTCATGATGGTGGGCGTGGGGGGATCCCCAAAGAGCTTCAACTGGCATTCACAAACATTTTTCAGGCTCAAACTTTAATGGCCTGAGAAAGGTTGACATCTCACCCTGTGCCACTATAACCTTTTAAAGTCGCTTCAACATCTTGAGAGGACAGTGCTTGCACACTCGTTCAGCAGGAAGATCTTCTTGTGATTTATCTTTTACCCACCAGATTGGTGGTATAGAAATGCATTACATTCTGGCTTTAAAGATGTTTAAATGCCATTCCTGATGGTTATGTGGGGTCAGTGTCACCCCTTCGGAACGTCATCTACACCTGCTCTGCCTTGGTGCCCTTTAGAGGTTGCCCAGAATGTGAGGGGACCAGGAAGATGGACCAGGTCATAGGCTGTAAGTGCATAAGCCTGGGTTTCAATATCTTGGGCAAGAAGAGGTGCCTTCAAAGCATAATCCCTGGAACCAACAGCCGCAGAAGGATCCATGAACTTGGTAGAAATATAAACTCATTCCCAGGCTCACACAGACTTGCAGAATCTTGTGGGATGAGGGGAGAATCAATGGTCATATTGCACCCCTACAACCCTGAGCTGGAAGAATCTAGAGTGGAGCAAGACCGGATTCTCAGTAACTAGATAAGGAGGTGGGTTGGACAGATCCAGGCTCTTATCTGAAACCATTTAACAATCATTGCATGCTGTATCTAAAAGACAAACATTCAGTGGGAGGCTGGAGGGGGCTGTAACTCCACATAGACCCGCAGGTTTTGAATGGTCTTGCCTTGATACAAGAAGACAGCATTCTCACAGTCTTCCTCGCAAACTTCTAAGCCTCAGAAGTAGTGCCCAGTTGGCACACCTTTCGTATGAAACAGCTTCGAAGAATTCCAGGCAGGGGCAGAGCTAGAGTTAGAGTCAGCCCCATGGAGGTCTGGCAGAGATGGATCCAGTTTTTAGGAGTCCAAAACTTACATAATTTTGATAGTTCATTTAGGACAACAATATACAGCATATTGTATAGAGCTCACAAGCATGTGACGAACATATTACCAGGTCTCTGAGAAGCAGCGTCATAGCCTGTCCGACATGGAGACCTGAGTTCACACTCCGTCAGCCCCATGGCAAACCCACTTCTCACTCCAGGCCCAGGTACACGCTCCTATCCTCAGCTATTTCAGTGTGAACTTCTCTGACTGTGAACGGACAATACCAGTCCAGAAGCTAGCGCGTATCCGCTCATCTTCGTCCGTCTTTCCCTTTTTGGTGGTTACTGTCGTTTGCAGTCACCATGCACAGGTTTAGAACTGGTCCTCGACAATGACAGGAAGGTAGAGACTTCTTTTATTTTCCTATCTCAGGGGCCGGGTGACATGGCTCCTTTCCTAGTTAGCTTTATCTATCAGCTTGACACAGTCCAGAGTCCTCTGTCTGAGTCTCAAGTACAGGATCACCCAGGCCCAACTGGCCAGTGGTCAGGTCTGTGCAGGACTGTCCTGACTGATGATGGGTGCAGGAGAGCTCAGTCCACTGTGGATGCTATCATCCCTAGCCTGGGCTGCAGAAGAAAGCTGGTTGAATAAGAGCCTGAGAGAGCAAACCAGGAAGCAGTGTTTCTCTGTGGTTTCTGTTTCAATTCTTGCCTTGAGTTCTTCTTCTGACTTCCCTCAGTGATGGACTGTCAGCTGGAAGTGTGAGATGAAATAAACCCTGTCCCCCTAGGTTGCTTTAGGTCATGGTGTTGATCACAGCGACAGAAAGCAAACGAACACAGCCGCCTAAATTAATCAGACTTTAAACAGGCAGCTTTTGGGGGAGGCATTGACTCGTCACACTGAGCTCACATTTCCAAACAAATGCTGTCCTTTTCTCCCTCGGCCCTCTGACAACCCATGCCTCTTCTTGTCATTTAAGCAAACAGCATTCTTCGTCTGTAATTAATTTAAGGGCCAAGGCTTGAACCCTGAGCCTTGGATGAGCTAAGCAAGCACTCTGCCAATGAACCAATTCCTTCATCCCCACTCTCGAATACAAGATAATTTTGATCTGGTCCCCCTAATCTTTAATGGTAAAATGGCCTGCCTGATGCTCACATAAATAGACAGTAGAACCAGGTAGTGACTCAATGTCATTCAGCCATCTCTTGTGACAGCAAGGCTCCCTTTTCACACTGAACGTTTAAAGCCTCAGATGTATCATTGGAAGCAGAACGTAGCAGTTTGATCCTGACCTCTGTCCTTCCCCAGTATAGGCTCCCCACTTAAGAGCACACAATTAAAGCCCACTCTCTGCCTTTGGAGTTGATACTCCTGATGATAGATACCCCTTATGCCAGTCGGCGTTCTACAGAGCCCCGTGAGGTACCTGAAGAGACGCCTACAGTTTGCCCCACACTGTGAAGTTACCCTAATCTCCCTCTGCCCCTTTGGATACCTGGGGAAACTTCTTAGACCTACATGTGACTCCAGAGCTTAGTCTGGGAACTAAGGCCTGCATCTGGCCGCCCTGCCCGTGGTCTGCTGTGCACGCTGTCCCCTACCTCCCTGGGGAGAAGCCATCGGGTGGAAGGTGTCGCGGGCGCAGGCTCTACCTGAGGACAGCAGGCTCCCACTGCTGCCGCTGATGATCTTCCCTTTGCTGCCCATGTTGGCCAACTTCGAGGTCTTCAGCGTCCCTGTTTCTGTTAGGTCAATGGCGATCTCACTCAGACTCCGTGCTGCATGGATCTTGGACTGGAAAGGAAAGGAAAGGCGAAAAGGTTATGGAAGGGGCAGAGAACACTCACTCACTTGTAGTCCTGAAGTCAGGTGGCTCATAAGCTACAGACCGGAATTCACAGCGCAGATTCCCCAGGCATCAGAGCACAGTGTGAAGAGTGTGGTCTTTGCAGTCTATAGTCTGGGGAAAGTATTTAATCTCCTTGGAGTCTTATTATTCCCAAATATAAATCAGGGGAGTTACCACTGACCACAGAGGGGTGAGCTGGAGTCAAAGGAGACAAGCTGTGTGTGGGACATTGCCTTCTCTCCCTCTAGTCCTCCCCGCTTCTCCTTTCTCCTTGACAGAGAAACAAATAGAAAATTGTACCAGGTCAGTAATCTTAGCTACTGGGGGTAGGGGTGGAAGGCTGAGGCAGGGGGATTATAAATTCATAGACTGCCTGGGCCAAAGAGCAAGTTCAAAGTTTGATTGGACAATTTACTGGGGGACTCATTCTTTGATACAAAGTAGAATAAGTAGGTATAGCTCAATGGTAGAGAACTTCTCTAGTATGTACAAGATCCTAGGTTTAAGCCCTAACACCACACACACACACACACACACACACACTCATGCCCTCATGCATGTACATATATGCACACATAGTTGTGACTATACTTATTTTATTCTTAGATGAGGAGAAAATAACTTTTTAGCTTTATGAATGATAGATGAGATTTGTGAAACAAATCAATAAATTTAGAAGCTATTAAATATCTTCAGTTATTACCCATGTGACCAGGGAAAGTTTAGGTGCTAGATTACTGGTATCTGCAAAGACTATACACAGACAGAAACCTCTGGAATACTCAGGTCCCACCAACAGCATCTGTCTCAAGATTCGCTTCAATTCTCATCGATTAAATCTGTGAAGGCTCCAAAGTCTTCATATTGGGGTTCAAACTTCATTCCACTTTGTATGCAGATCAGCTGACCCCACTGGGCTTACAGCTACAGGGGTGAGGAGAATCTCAGACTGGTTTTGTTCTGTGTTTACATCCCTAAAAGTGATCCTTTCTTCAGTAAGGCTATCTGCTTTACTTTGCCACACCATTGGTAAAGTGGAAATGTGCTGGATTTTCTGCCTATTGACATGGTTTGGCATTTTGCAATATGTTGCTATTGTTTTATAAATCAGTTTTTTAATGATACCATCAGCATCACGCAAACCACTACAGCTGACAGTCAAAGCACACACTGGCTCTATGGTGTAGCTGCTGCAGGACAGCAAGGCTTTCCGCACCCACCAGGCTCCAGACAGAGCCGACAGCTTTGGCGAGGCCTGCCCACCACAGTCCCCTCTTCCTGATTTACAGGCTTCCTCCTTTGCCCAGGGGCCGTTATTTGTCCCACAAAGGCTATGTGGGCCCTTAAGGCCTTGCCCTTCCCCTGGCCTTAGATGTTGTTGCCTCTGCTGATGAATGACAGTGACTTCCGGCCCGTGTGCTTTCTTCCTCTTAACAAATAAGCGTCTTTGGCCAGAAGAAACACTGAGACTTTTGTTTTTGTTTTGTTCACCTGATGTGAACCATCCTCCTTCCCCACCACTGCTACTGTGACTTGGATCCCCTTCCCAACCTCCACTTTCTTCCTTACGAACAGAACCAGGCCGACTTCCTCAGGTTAGGGCCCTCTGGTACATAAACAAGCCCAGCTGCCAGGCCTGGCAGCCTTTGGCTGCAGGAGGAAGCAGCATGGGCTTTCTATTTCATGGGGACTCCGCATATCTCCAGCCCATCTGGCTGTGCTTTATCCTTCAGGCAAGCGGAGTGCACACACAATCCATGACTTCCCCTCTTCCTGCAAGACTGCTGTGTTCATAGAAGAATCTCACACTTAAACGGCTTCAGAACAGCAACTCATATAGCACAGTGGCGAGGGCGCAGAGCTTCTCCTGCTTGGTCACTGTCAGACTTTGATCCTTGACCTCTCTGATCCTCAGATGCCTGCTTATAACATTGGGATCTTAAAGCCCACATCACAGAGTTGGGATAAGGACCACAGTGGATACTGTATGTCAAGGTCACAGCCATAGGAGAGGGATATAAATTAGGACCTGGATGTAATTTGTGAATAAGGTTAGATTGATGGCTCTACTTGACATTTTAAAGATACCATTAATCACATGGAAAAACTGTTTTCAAATATGCCCCCTCCTCTCCTGCTTAGACATTAACCCCAGAGGCAAAAAACCAAACACAAGAGCAGGAGTAGCAGCTAGCCTTTTTCTAATGTGGTCTAGATTTTGGTGACTTTAAGACTTTTCTGGAATGAGCCTATCACAATGGCCCAACAGATTGCTTGTAGGATGAGAACTAAGAAGAAATATAACAAACAGTCCCAGGAGATTGATTCCCTTCTTGCTATGTTGGGTCTCTGGGCCAGCCCCAGAGTCCCTACACACCCTCGGTGACCGCTCAGTGTCGGCACCGATGTTCTGTGAGCAAGCAAGCCTTAATTTGCTCTACCAGGCTGTTGATTTTAGGAGGAATAAATAGATTGAATGAGGAAGGGAGAAAAAAGGAAGATGTCTGCACTGGAGCCTAAGTCCAGCAAGCACCACTCTAAGGTCAGAGGAAAAGCAGCCATTAGTTCCTCTAGACAATGTGAGCTTTGCCCTGAAGTCTGAAAGTCAGTCCTTTAGCTCCAGGATGCAGTGGCCACTGGATACTTTTGACAGCACTTTTGAACTTTAGTAACAGCAGATATAAATTACCAGTTATAATAGATGTCCGCAGAGCTTCACATGTTCAATAAACTGCAGGGAATCAACTTCCCTACACTCTGTTTTTGATAGTGGAGGGTTTCCTTCATGTACATGTTTGAGGAGCTGATGGAGGAAGAGGAAGTGGGAAGAAGGGAGACGGGCAAATGGGGAGAGAGGGAACAGGGGATGCTTGCTCTTTCCTTCCTTCCTTCCTTAGTTCCTTCTTCTTCTTCTTCTTCTTCTTCTTCTTCTTCTTCTTCTTCTTCTTCTTCTTCTTCTTCTTCTTCTTCTTCTTCTTCTTCTTCTCTCTCTCTCTCTCTCTCTCTCTCTCTCTNTTCTCTCTCTCTCTCTCTCTCTCTCTCTCTCTCTCTCTCTCTCTCTCCTTCTTCTTTCCTTCCTTCCGTTCCTTCCTTACTTCTTCCCTCCCTACCTCTCCTCCTTCCTTCCTTCCTTTCTTCCTCACAGGGTTTCTCTGTGTAGCCCTAGCTATCCCAGAACTCAGTCAAAAATCAGGTTGGCCTTGAACTCAGAGATCCACCTGTCTCGGTCTCCCAAGTACTGGTACTAAAGGTGTGTACCAACACTGGGAGGCTTTCTTAAATGGTTTGCACAATGACCCGGAGGTACTCTGGGTGTCAGAGAGGAGGTATGTGATCTGTCTTGGCTAATGCTCTCACTGACTCAAACCACTAGACTGTACTTGTTTCTCGAGCTTGATAAACATCACTTGGGAGGCCTGAACTGTGCTGGGAGCCCTTCAGAGAAAGGAATGGTTGGCATGGCCCCATACAGTAGAATGTGAAGCCCTGCCAGGATGCCAGCCCACACTGGCTGTCCAGAAATATGTGAAGCTTTCTATCCCAGGCCTGTTGACAATCATTCACAGAATCCCTGCTGCCCACCAAAGATGGGTCACATGACATCCCAGAAGCGAACTGTGTTGTAATGTAACTTCTCCTGAGTGTTTCACCATCTCGGACTTAATGTGGGGTCTTCTCAGATAGTTTAAACTTGATGCAGCACTGGACAGAAAATGTGTCAGCTTAGCTATGACGTTAGTAAAACACAAATTCCCTAAAATAAAACACTGATTTCCTAAAGCAGTTTCACAAATACCATGTCATCTCACCAACTACAAATCTGGGTCAGGAAGTTCCTTTTCTGTTCTCTAACTGGGAAAAGCAAGAGGCATGTGATAAGAGGTCTTCCCAAGGTCACAGAGCTGGGAAATAGTTGTCTAACAGACAGACAGAGGAACTTGGTCTTCACCTGCCTGTTAGGTTCACAAACTGACTCTTAGGATACATGTGGGTCTGAGGACAAGTTCAGTGGTAGAACACCTGCTTAGGAATAAGGTCCTAAATTCAATTCCTATTACTGCAAGAAAGCAAACCTTTTTTTTTTATTTTTTCGTTCGACACATGTCTAGGCCTCTGGAACATTTGCAGTCATGTAAAGACCCCTGGGTAAAATTCTATTCCCCGTGGGAATTTGGTTATTTTCTTTTGTCCTTCAAAGTGACTAAGAAGGACAGTTAAGAGCTTTTTCATAGTTATGGCCCTTCGGATTTGTCTTTCTTTCTTTCTTTCTTTCTTTCTTTCTTTCTTTCTTTCTTTCTTTTCTTTTTTTGAGGCAGAGTCTCACTACGTAAGCTGCCTTGGCTAGCCTAGAACACTCTATAGATTAGGATAGCCCTAAAGCAGCAATCTCCCTGTCTTTGCCCCTCGAGAACTAGAATTACAGGTGTGAGCCACCTATAACTGGGTTTGTCTCTTTTTTAAAAAATTATTTATTTTTATGTGCATTGGTGTGTTGCCTGCATGTATGTCTGTGTGAGGGTATCAGATGCCCCTGGAAGTGGAATTAGAGACAGTTATGAGCATGTGGTAGCTGGGAACTAAACCTGGGTCTTCTGGGGAGCAGCCAGTGCTCTTAACCACTGAGCCATCTTTCTAGCCCTGAGTTTGTTTCTTAAACAGTGCTAAAAAGTGATTGGTGATCATTTTTTTCCTCTAAGCTTCACTTAATGTATCCTTGACCCGTTGGAAGTCTGTTGAAAAAGGCTTCTCACAGGCAATGTGGGCATTTTTTTCCCCAAAGAACCCCAAGAATAGGCTACTTGACATACCAAGAAACTGCAAAAAAAAAAAAAAAAAAAAAAAAAAGAAAAGAAAAGAAAGAAACCAGCATGGGGAGGAGGGCCTCAAGCCACTGACACTGCACAGTCCTGGGGTGCAAAGGCTGCTTCCTCTCCCCACTGCAGACTATGGTATTAGAGTATGGGGGAGGGGAGGGTTCTGCCCTCTCCAGCCTTCTGACCATTACTACCCACCAGCAAGCAACAGGGGATGGAGTTTATGTCTGTGGGTGTTGACCTCCAGCTCCTCCACTGGAGAGCAGGGCACCAGCCCCCACCCACGGTCTCAGCATCTAATGTGAGTCACACCCCTGTGGCCCTGCTTCTTTTGATCTAATCAAGCTTCAAAGGCCTGTGCCAAGACCCATCATCACTAAAGGAGTGTGGAACACTCTCATGATTTCCAGCCGCAAGAGCACCACCCTGCCCCCAGACTCTGTCATCCCAAAAGTGACTAAATAAAGAGGCCAGGAGGACCCAGAAAAGGAATCAGTGCTTTCCAAAGCTGGCAGTGGCTGTGACAAGGGGCAGGCCCTGATTTGGGACTGAACTGGGGCAGGGGAGTGGCTTCACCCCTGACAGTATCCTTCCGCCATCTCACTGCTAGCTCCCACTTTCTCCTCCAGAGGTGAGGAAAAACCCACAGTAAAGGGAAAAAGAACCAAAAGGGTACCAATCCAATGATCTCCGTTCTTTAAAATGCCACTAGCTCCTAAGAATACATATACAAGGGGAGACAACTTCCTGTGGATGGGGGAACCCACTAGAAGGACCAGGGAGGGCATCACCTGAGAGTCCTAACACAAACTTAGAGCCATCTCCCCCTGCAGGGGCCCTTCTGTGCTATACTGAGTGGGAGTGGCCTGTGCAGTCCCTGGAAGAGGAGGAAGACAGGTGGAGGGAGGAGAGGCCGGAGTGTTGCTCTAAGCTGTGTGTGAACCAAGAGCGCGTCATTCTCCCACCCACCAGAAGGCCCAGCTGGCTGTCTGGGCTGGGGGTGGATGCACCTCTTAGGCCCGGACATGGCAATTTCCCAACGCCCCAGGCTCCAGGTCTACCTGAGGGAACCGGGGCTGCTGCTGCTGCCTTTGTTTTGTTTTCCTTTTCACTTTTCCAGTTTTACATTTTAAAAACAGAGTTGGCAGTTGGAAAAGCCTGAAGGGCTTTTCACAGCAGTCTCCCTAGACAGTTGGGTTAGTCTTGTGTATTGGCTGAGGACGGTTATCTCCGCGGTCCCCCCCCCCCCCCCCCCCCCCCAGAAAACACTATACCACTGTTTAAACATCAGCAAGAGTTTGAGAAAGAACTCACTCCTAAGAGAGCCTGAGAGCCTCGAAAAGTATGTTCAGAATTCCTAAGGACCCTACATGGCTGTACCGGAGGCTTGAGCACCTCTGCTGGTGGCTGGGCCAGTGCCCCTGACAAGTAACACCCAGTATGGCCTCTTAATGATTTGATGACCTTCCTTCTACCTGCAGCCCTCAGAGGCAAGTCCTTACCAAGGTAGGTCTCAGGCCAAGGACACCCATCTAATTCCCATCCCTAAACTGCTGCCTGGCAGAAGGTCACCTACCTTACTTTGCTTTCTGTCCAGGTAGAACTGATGTTGGCTAATCGCCATCGCCCAAATGGACTTGATCAATGCTGGACATGCGTACCACGTGTGCACAGCAATGCCACTGTGCCCAAAAGTCCTCCTGGTCACTGAAGCCCTGGAAGAAGAAGAAGAATCACAAGCTTCATTCAGTCTCTGCGACGGGGAGAGGCCATTCATCAAACAGCTGTAAGAGAGAGTCCAGTGGCCCGAAGGGGACAGAGGAGCTCACACGGAAACAAGCACACAGGTCCGCACACACCGACGGAGTCACATGGCCATGCCCTGTATAGGAACTGACTCCTCAAGCTTTCATTCCAGGACAAGCTGGGTCCCTCTAGGTCACTTGATGGTCCTTTTTGATCTTCAGCTCCTCGCATGGAGTCAAGACAAATCTCAGAGCCAGGAAAAGCCTTTGAGGATGCTCTCCGTTAACCAGGCAATGCTGCCTATGGCGAAGATGGGCGAATTCTTTCCTCCTCTTCACAGGCCTGAATACGTCCTACATCATAGAACTTTCCGCATTGTGCTGACTAGAAAGATGTTCCCTGAAAGGTCTGATTATTCAGTACAGATGCATTCCCAAAGCGCAAAGGTACTTAAGAATCAAGAGAGGGAAGGCAGAGAAAGCGGAGCCAGGCACTTCCCTAAACTTTGTGTGTACAATTCTAATTAGAATATACATGGAGTAGAGACAGGCAAGTGGAGATTAAAAATAAAAACGGGAAGCATCAGTCTCAACATGTCCATGGTGTCTGGGTTGGGGAATAAAAGATTTATAGGGCCACAGTCTCAGCGAAGTATATTCTACAGGATACACCCATTAAATCTGAGAACAGGCCAGAGAGCTGACTGGTTGCCGAACCTGACAACCTGAGTTTGATCCTTTGGAACCACGTGATATTAGGAGAGAAATGACTCCTACATGTTGTCCTCTGACTTCTGCCACACATACACACACGCACATGTATGTATACACATGTGCACAAAGGCAACACATGTGCACATATACACAAATAAATGGAATTAGATATTATAAAATAGTTTAGAATCTGAGAGTAAATGGAAGTATTTGTGTGGGAGCAGGGAGAGAGGGATGGAAGAAGGGATGGAGAGAGGGAGGGGAGAGTGGAGTGGGGCTGGGAAGATGACTCAGTGGACAAAGCACTGAACCTACAAAATCTGGGGACTTGAGTGTGGCTCCCTAGAAGCCCCACTGAGTTGGATGTATGGCATGTACATCTGCACCCCAGTGCTCTTGGGGTGAGGTGGGAAGCAGAGACAGGACAATGACCCCTGAAAGCTTCCGTGCAGCTAGCCTCGCATGAGAAGCAAAGAACACAAGACCTGTCTCAAGCAAGGGGGAAGATGGGGCCTCCGACCTCCACATGTGTGCTGTGGCCCCCACGCACAAACACATCAGACATGCCAAAAAAGAATTTTTGGTAAGAGGGGGGTGATGGCAGGTTGGGGTGTAACTAGGGCACTTGATCTGAGTGTCAGAAGAAATATCAATGATTTTAAAAAGAAAACATCTAATTTCAAAGAACTGCAGACTCATCTGGACTTATGAATAACAGCATTTTTCCCAAACCCCATTTTCCTTTACAATTTAAAGCTGGTTTTAATGTCTTACTCTTTAGCTAAAGATTTAACAGGAGGCTTCTTCATGCCCACATTTAAGAGGAAATTCAAATCTGGTGGTTAGAAACCCGATGCTAGGCAGGTTGGGTCCCCCCCCCCCCATTTGGTTCAAACAAAAGTTAAGGGATAAAAAAGAAAATCAGTGTGTAAAACATCTCTGTGGGGAGAAACTAAAAAGGGGTCAGTAAGAGAGTGAGGAGACCCCCCCCAGGCTTCTGGGGAGCCAGGGGCAGCAAGAGAGTGAGACACTGGGGAGACACAGTAGCTGTTGTCTGAACTCCTAGTTTGGCTTGGAGTAATTTTTTGCCCCAGAAAAGATAAAGTAGGTAGAAAAAGTAACTTGAAATGTACTTTTGTAAAGGTGGGGAGAGTTGTAAAAATCCAGGTGCCTCTAACTTTCCAGGTAACGTGAGCAAGGAAGGCATAAGTGGTTCATCGGGTCTGGGAAGTCAATTTCATGGGAACATCTACATCAGATACTCTTGGGGTTTTCTCCTGCTCCATTAGGAATTTATCTTCTCTGCTCATCTCTCTCCTCAGCTCTCCCTGCCTCACCTTCTGCCTCATCTAAACCTTAGCAGTGTTTGCTAAACCCAGAGAATGACAGAAGAAAAGGTAACAGCTGGGGACAGAGGGGCACAGAGGCTGCCACAGATGCTGCGTCCCCTGGGGAAGGCGCACCAGGGAAAGAAAGGTGGGGGTTATAGCTGTCCCATTCCACCCAGAAAACAGTCTTGGCTCCAAGAGATGTCCGTGTCATGATGGACTCAGGGCTGCTTTTCCCCAGGGAAGATGGTCAAATTCTGAGCTCAGACTGCCATCTTTGGTCTGCTTGGTACACACAAACCTTCCCTCCTCTCGTTTCCTCAGTTTACCCCGAGGGCCCACCTCCTAGTAACCCCAATGGGAATCAGCTCAGATCTCCTCCTGAAGCTGCACTTGACCAGCTGGGCCTTTGGTGCCCACATCAGTCAGTAGTTTGGTTTGTACTTCTTGGCATAGCACAGCTTGCCTGGCATATACAGTGTATAGCACTGAGGTTCACGAGCTCTGGTCTCAGACTTCTAGGGTTCAAACCTAGCCAGTACCACATACTAGCTATCCACAGTTTATATCTGTACCTCGACTTATATCTCAGGTCATAGTGAGGACCCAGGGAGCAAATGTGTCAGCATCAAAACAACGCCTATCCTTGCAAATGCCATCATTACTTCTTTTGCTGGTGTCTCCAGCTCTGCTAATATCTTCCAATGGAAGAGGATACTGATTCAGCTTTTCTTCTGTAACCACCACATCTAACATAGACGAACACAGAAGTTCTCAGAATATGTATGAGATGGATCACTTTTGCTAAGTAAGCCAAAAGCACACTGCATGGTAATACGTGATGTTAGATCTGTTTTCTATATCCCTAGACTAATTATATCATTAATGAGATTGCAGACACAGAAGGGACATACATATGTATATATACCACACACACACACACACACACACACACACACACACACGGTGGAAGGATTCACCCCATGTACAAGCAGAGCCACGGCATGGAGACTGTCTATTCCCTGTGCCCAGGCCCACAGGTGGCCCATCTTTTTATTTAACTTCTGCTCTGCCAAGCATCCCCTTTCTGTATAAGACCATGGTTTAGAATTCATTTTACCCTTTCTGCACTGAGGTTTCCTTTTCTCTTATATGTCTGTGAATCTCAGGCTGACATAAGTTCACCTGGAAAAATAGCAGCGAGTTTCTCCTTGTCTGGATTATTATTTTTGGCATCCACCTGCCCACCCCTTCTTGGCCTGTGCAGATGGACTGTATTCTGTGGAGGAGGGTGCTTAGACCATGAAATGCATCCCAAGGTCCCGAGAACCACCAAACAAGCCATCCTTCTGTTTAACAGTGACCTCTGCACCCAAATGCAGAGACTCAGAAACTCTAGAACCTTCTGTCCTCTAGTTGCTAGTGTAATAGTGACAGAGGGGCTGGGATGAACTCTTGCCTACAGGAGGGAGGCTGTTCCACATAGATTACAAGGAGGTACACAACGCAGGCGGGTTATCGGCAGGAGCAGCAGGCACGAAGGCGTCTGCACAAACCTCGGCCTTCTCCTTGGAGGCAATATCTTATCCTGAGTCCCTGGCTCCCTGGAGGGCCCAGCTGCTGGTCTGTATGTGCAGATGTCTGTATGCTCGAATCCTTGTGCGAGGCGGTTACTTGCCAGCACTTCCTCCTAAGTCCAGGGCTAAACCCACCGTGGCTTCCTGAGCGCATCTGATCTATTTAGTGTCGTCCCAGGCCTGCCTTCTTGTCAGTATGCATCTGGACTGACAGACAGCAATTTGTTCTTCGGGGTCAGGCATGGTGGAGGGAACGCTGCTGCTGCTGGCTGTCCAGGACTGCCAGCAGACAAAGAGGACTGCCAGCAGACAGGAGATGGTGCCCAGCCTCCTTCCCTGCAGGGGTCTCTACATTCCAGACTGGGACCCTATTGTCTGGCATCCAACTTGGAACACAGGTTTATAAGACTGGTGTTCTCAGGGGCACAATGTGGGCGGAAGGAAAAAGAATCGCGTTTATTTCACGTCCACCCACAATGCTAACATCCAAAAATCACAGCTCCCAGATGGAAATAAAGAGCAGAACTACTCTGGCGACAGAAGCCTTTCAGTGGTCACCGTCCTGTCTCACGTAGGCTCAGCACCTGTAGCAAGGACGCCTTTGGTCTCCTGTCTGTGACAAGGGCACTGCCCCCATGTAACTCAGTGTTGTCCCAAAGTGCCACAGTGCTTCCTTCCAGCATCTCTCTCTCTCTCTCTCTCTCTCTCTCTCTCTCTCTCTCTCTCTCTCACACACACACACACACACACACACACACGAGAGCAACATGTAGCCAGATGAAATGATCCAGAATTGCTAAACACACACACATAAGAACAATATATAGCCAGATGAAATATTACAGAATTGCTAACCACACACACATAAGAACAATATGTAGCCAGATGAAATATTACAGAATTGCTAACCACACACACACACACACACACAATAACAACAACATGTAGCCAGGTGAACTATCACAAAATTGCTACACACACACACACCACACACATACACACACACACACACACATGCGCTGCATTTATCAACACAAGCTTTACTGTCTGATGTGAACTCTGCTCTCCACATTCACCATCCTCTTCCCTCACCCCAAACTGGCCATGAACATCAACCGACATCAACCGTGACGACAACACAGAACTGATATACAAATAGCATGCCACACACTCAAAAAAAAAAAAAAAGGCTTTTAGACTTACCTGCGGGGGTCATGAACTTCCACGGAAAACTTCTTTTCCCTGAAATACAGATTCTCCAACTGTCTCCATTGGAATATCTGGACGGAAAACAACGGAGTTTAAATTCAGAAGCAGTGAGTTCCCTGGTCTCCGTCCCTTCTTCGCTGAGTAACTTTTTCAACAGCTGAGAGTTTCCTTATCAAAGCAGAGACCTTACAGTTGTTGGTGCCTCCTCCGGGTAGCCTGCCTACTACTAGTCCTTGAAACACACACACACACACACACACACACACACACACACACACACACATACACACACACACCGGTGAGTGTGGATTTTTCCTGCAGGTTCCTTAACAGGAACAAAACAAGTTCTTTTTCAAGTTTGTTCTCCTTTGGCTCCTGCCTTTGTTGAATTCTCCAAGACAGTTCCCAGCTCGCAGACTTTTCCCTCCAAGGAGAGGGAGAGGGGGTGGGGGCGGGGAGATGAGAGGAGGGAGGAGAGGACCGGAGCCCGGGAACACGGCGCTCAGGAGGGAGCGGTAGCCATCTGCGCACGCTGAGGGCTGAGCCGCGCTTCCTCCCCTCGAGTGCTGAAATGGGAAGGCGTTCAAATTCCCAGCCTCCCTTCGGGACTCCACTTCCTGCCGCTAATGTGCAAGAGCCTCAGACATCCTCACTCGCTGGAGGGCGGAGGCTGTTGCGACCGTAGTTGGGGGCAGGCGACTCGGGATCACAGTGTGTGCTTGTCACGCTGCTTAACCCCCCTCAGCACAAAGCGGGGAAGGGAGCGGGGGAGGGTGCGGGGGCGACGGACAAGAGTTCTGCCGCTATAGGGATACTGCTGTCTTGCCTTGCCAGCAAGAGAAGGTCCATGGAACTCCAGGAGTGAAAAAAGCTGTTCTTGAGGTTGGGAGGCAATTAGGGCGCTTTGGATTGCTCTAGGAGTGGGGTGACTTTTTCTGGATGAAAGTGAAAGTTACTGAGCCGGCTAGGGAATGTCACCAGAGGCTAAAGCTTTGTGCACGCGGGTTTGCATTCATTATGTCCACGGAGCTTCCGTTTCCTTCTGTATACTTAGAAGTGAGTTTGTTTTGATCAAGAATAAACCAGGGTGCCTGGTCTTGTCTTTCCCGAAGAGAATGGCTGGTTCTTCCCGGCAGGCCTGTTTGTCTACTCCACATGGGGGCATAGCATTTTAGGTTTAGTTCCACACTGAGTCCCCAGCTCATTACAGACATGCACCTTTCAGATAGGAAGGTCGTTTCCCTGTGTTCCATAAGCCCTGTTTTCCCCAGGCCCAGAATGCAGTTAGTCAATACTTGGCCAGTGAATTTACCACCCAAGTCAAACTGAGCTGCAGTTAAAACTGGTTTCTAGAGTGGCTGCATTCTCTCTCATCTCACACTCTCCTCGGCGGGGCGGAGTTCTAAAATGATTTTGTCTGCATGGGTAACCGGAGGGGCGAGGGGCAAGGGGCAACTATTGGTTCTTACCAAGGAGCCACCTCTTCACCCACAGGGCATTTGACTCTGAAGACAGAGAGCGGAGACTTTTCTGTCTCCCTGGAATCAGTTTCAAGTGAGTGTAGAGACATTGCAAGGAAAGCAAATGATCCAAAGTCCTGCCCTGGCTCAGATGCTCTGTGTCCATCCCGCCTTAGTCACTTAAATACACAGAACTCAGTCATAGGCGGTGGGTGCTCTGCCTCCACGAATCCCTCAATGGAGACACTTCCAGTCTCTGATACCCACTGGTTGGGTTTAGACATCTCACCTATTGGAAACACTAGAGCTGCTCACTCTATGACCTTGGCCTTACATGTAACCTGCCAAACTCGATGGGCACAAGCCTTTCATCTCAGTACTGGGGAGGCAGAGGCGAGGGGTTCTCAGTGAGTTCAAGGTCAGCATGGTCTACAAAGCAAGTTCCAGGACAGCCAGGACTGTTACACAGAGAAACCCTGTCTAAAAAAAAAAAAAAAAAAAAAAAANAAAAAAAAAAAAAAAAAAAAAAAAAAAAAAAAAACAAAAAAAAAACTAGAACTCTAACCTGCCGTAATATAGAATGTCATGCATGGCTTTAGAGTCTGAGCCTCTGTTTACATCCGGATTCCCCACCTTTCAACTCACTGGCCTTTAACTTGCAGCAATTGTCTTAGCATTGGTTTCCCCATTTGTAAAATGTTAAGAATAGCTCCTGTAAGATGGATCTTAACAGCAGCAGATCCTGAACTCGGCAGTGGTATAAATAAGCAGACAACAAACATGGAGCTCACTGTGTTTTCCTTGTGCTCTCTGTGCTCCCAGATTCCACCAAACGAGAGGGAGGGAACTGCAGAGCCACCAGAATGCTTTCCTTAAATGTCTCGTCTTGACTTGGAGCTTAAAGAATTAAATTAGATTATGCGTGTGCTGGAAATCTTATAAGTATAAAGGCCTCTCTCTCCCTTCCTTTCCTCCCTCCCCCTCCCTCTAGAGTTGTGCTTCTCAGAACCTGCCCTGTATCCACCCTAACCAAGCACAGTGGATCTTTGCACAGGACTGACTTCCTGGATGTGTGATCTAAGAGGCACACGCACCTGCTGCTGCCATAGTGAAATTCCCAATGTGTTTTCCTCTATTTGCGTGGACCCTACCAGTGATATAGTTGGTCCTTGTCTCAGCAGCGTGGAGTGGGGGTGGGAGTTGGGAGTCATATCTGCGTCGGATGTACAGACCACAGAAGGTAGACCCCTCCCCAGGAAGAAAAGAAGCCACACCTGGTGTGAGCGCTTGGGAGTAAACCCGACTTGTGCCTTCTTTTGGAAGCGCCTTCGGGCCTGATAAAGAATCCTGGAGCACAATGCTCCAAGGGTCGGTTTCCTGGCAACTTCTTCTTCCCCAGCTCCTTGCAAAAATATAAAATCCACACCATGCCTCTCCTCTAAGTGGTCCCTGATGCTGAGCAGTGTGGAGATCTGTGTGGCTGCCAAAGGGCCCAAACAAAACCATCTGGGCTTACTGCCGCCCCTCATCTTAGCCAGGGAAAGCCCAGGCTGCCCAGGGAAAGGGTGATGTATTTTCTGTAGAAATTTTTGTAGCAGGGGCAGAACAGTGAATTCCCTGGTAGCTGTTTTAGCACAACTTTATTTTGCAAATTAAATACTGGGAAGGAAAGGTGGGAGTAGAAAAAAATGAGTGGGTATTTTGTCTAGATCTGATAGCTGCTTGGGCCGTAAGAAGAATCCTGAAGGAATGAATGAGGACCTGCAGCTACATTGCCTGCCTGCTGCTCTTTCTCCTCACTTGAGAGAGGCTGGAGCTAGGGAGCCAGCAAGCTGCTGGTGGTTGCAGTGGGAGGAGTTGGAAGGCTATAGGGGTGGGGAGGGCAGGGACAGCTGTTGCTGGCAGCAGGGCTGGATGTCATTTAAGCTGAAGGCTCTTCATGGGGGTCTAGGGCATTTCTGTTCATGTGTTGCCGCACCCCACATAGAGCCCCTGGCTGCTCAACACTCAGCTTTCAGTCTGGCAGAGCGAGAGAGCAATAAGGAAATAAGCAAAGGGAAGATGATTGGCTTCATGTTCCCCTGTAAATGGGAGGGATGAGCTATTACTGTCCTTGGGGCCACTCCAGAGGAGCCTCCATGACCTGGTTCTCAGAGATCCAAACTATCCCTGCAAGGTCATCAGTGTGATTTGAGACTCCACACAGAGACTCATTGGACAGTTGACAATTGTGGCGAACACTGGGCTAGCGCCCATAGACTCCAGCTACTTCCGATGGCCATTATATGCCAAAGGAGCTAATTATAAGCATAGCTATGCAGTTCTATCAGTAATCAGGGGTTCTACTGATTAATACCTGTTAAGTCAAGGGACTCCAGCTAGGCATCTCCACAGAGTTCCACACAGTTTCTTTGCTCATTTAGCAGCCCCTCCCCCAAGGAAAAAAAGTGGAAGTTTTTTTGAAGGGTGGAGGAGAAGAAACAAGACCCACAGAAATGAGGGGAAACTGCCTAGGGCCACACAACAAGTTTCTGAAGGAACCAGAAATAGAAGTCAAGGGCACCTGGTTCATTACTCCAACCACTAACTATGCAGCTTTTCCCAGGAGTCCACCAATTAGTGCCAACAGCTCTCGCTCACTAATGGGTGGTTAACTTTACAAGTGGAGCGCTTTCTCACAAATGAGCAACAGCGTGGCTGTGAGAAGGGCCGCATCGGACCAGGGGTTCTCTCCCCTACACGATTGCTTTGCTTTTCGTTCACACTGCAAATTACAACACGTGTTCCTTTTTTCTTCTTGGAGACCTAGCTTCGTCCAGGCTTCTTCAAAGCAACTGCCTCAATAATCAGCAGCTTTAGTCAAAGACTAAGAGACAACAATGACTATGATTAACAACAGCCCGATGACTGGGTTTGCATGGGAAATAGAAGCTTAAGAGGACTGGCATGGTGGCTCTTGCTTGTGAGCCCATCACTCAGAAGGCTGAGGCAGGAGGGTCATGTGTGTGTGTGTGTGTGTGTGTGTGTGTGTGTATCCTCTAATAGTAAGAATCATAGTAATAGTAATGAGTTAAGAGACCACCCCCTCCAAAAAAACTTAGAGAAACCATCAGGAAGGTATGGTGTTTGTCACCATTCACTGAACCCTGAACCCCAATAGTCCCAGATACGAGTTCCCAGTCTTTGACTTAGCCTTCCTATGGCCATAGGTCTGCTACTTTCCCATTCTGGACCAGAGTGCCCTCATGTATAAAACCAAGATGTGAAACATTTATCCACAGGGACCAAACAAAAGTGGCCAATAACTATTGTTTTGGGGCCCTGAATGTGACAGGGTGCTTTGTAAATCCTTAATGAGCACAGCCCTCGGGGGCCCTGGCTCCTATTAGCTGGTCCACTAGATCCCCACATCCTGTGCGTGGCTGAGGCTGTGGCAGAGGAAGGGACCTCGGCTCCACTTCCTCTCCAGCCAGCATTTATGAAGCACTGTGGGATAGCCAAATAGAGTAACAAGCAGTCTCTCAGGACGGTGTAGGAATAAAGACTTGAGAGGAAGCTAGGCTTTGTGGCTCTGATTCTTGACAAGGACTTTTGGGAGCCTTGTCTTCCTC